AAAGCTTTGTTTTAAACTGCCAGGCACTCTCACATGTATCCAGTGCTGCCCACAGAAAATGCTGCCTGCTGGCAACACCACTGCTTTGTCAAGCGAAGACACTCCTTAATATTTCAGTACAGCTGTTGCATCTCACTCTTTTCAGAGGCACATCCGCAACAGGAGATGAGACTGAACAGTTTCATTTCTTAAGGCCTCTGTAAAATCCTGTTCTCTTGCATTGCTTCCCTCCTACCTTGAAGGGTTATGTGTGGGACCCTCCCAAGTCACCCCCTAGTCCAAGCAAGTACATGCCCAAGCCCATTCCCATTCAAGACAGTATTTAAAGCACATGCATAACTTAGGTGTTGTCCTGAATAAATTTAATCAATCACCATCCAACTGACCACACGCTTCCCTTTTCTCCAAGGACACTCCTCAATTGCCTTAAAGTTCAGAAGATCTGGATAGGGCTTCTCTTTAAGGAATCCCTAAAATGCTGCTCCCTTCTCTGATAAAAAAAAAAAGAAATAGCTCTGTTTGCCTCCAGAAATCAACTGTGCTGTGTCCATATATACTCATCTTCTGCCAACTCAATAGCAGGAACCCAGACCCACAACTCAAACCAGAATCTCCAGGATGGCATTAATTGTATTCCACTTCATTCATAAGGCAAACACAGCACTAGGAACTAACTGAATTTCTCTAGATCTCACAAGACATCTATTGGCAAAAAGTCAATAATTATATATCTAATGCTCCAGTACTGAAAAAGCTGGGAAGAGAATCATAACTCTAATAACTAGAGTTAACCTAACAGCATGATAAAAAACTGAAGTACTGTAACTTGCTGTTCCCATTTGAGGAATATGTAAAATGACTGAAAGAAACGGAATTGCAAGTTGAAGGATTACAACAGAATAGAGCACAAAAGGGTGGGAAAGGAGATGTGGCATGTCATGGAGCTTCTAAGTAACAGCGGTATGTTGCTCTTAAGTTCATCATCCAGGGCACATGAGTATATGTCCCAAAAGTGTCCCCGAGTAGTTCCATAGTATTCAAATTCTTACAAAAGCTGAGGATCATACAAAAAACCAGAATTTCTGGCCAAGTAGACACAGAAATACCTCTGGTTATGGATATTAAATAAAATACATTCCTGTCTCTGTTAAATCTAATCTGATGTACATTTCTTCAGTTTCAGTTCTTATAAGAGACTGATTGCATTGGTTGGAGCTACTGCTGAGGGGATGTGGGGGTGCTGACCCAGCCTGCAACAACTGACCAAAACTCCCTAAGTGGCTCTCCAGCACAAATAATTGCCCACCCCAGAATTAGTATCTTCACACTATTGCTAGATAGTCTTCTTCCAGTTCTTATGTCCTGTACAGTCCTAGAATCATAGAAAATTAGGGTTGAAAGGGACCTCAGGAGATCATCACATCCAACCCCCTGCTCAAAGTAGGACCACCCCCAACTAGATCATCCCAGCCAAAGCTTTGTCTAGCCACTTCTTAAAAACCTTCGAGGATGGAGATTCCACCACCTCGCTGCATAACCTGTTCCAATGCTCCACTACCCTCCTCATGAGAACGTTTTTCCTAATATCTAACCTAAACTTCCCTTGCTGCAACTTGAGACCATTGCACCTTGTTCTGTCATCTGCCACCACTGAGAACAGCTCCATCCTCTTTGGAACCACACTTCAGGTAGTGGAAAGCTGCTATTAAATCCCCTTTCAGTCTTTTCTTCTCCAGACTAAATAAACACAGTTCCCTCAGCTTCACCTCAGCAGTTACGTGCCCCAGCCCCCTTATCATTTTCACTGCCCTCCGTTGGACTGTCTCCAATTTGTCCACATCCTTTCTGTAGTGGGGGGCCCAAAACTGGACACATTATGCCAGATGTGGCCTCACCAGTGCTGAATATAAAGGGAAGAATCACTTCCCTCAATTTAACACTCCTACTAATACAGCCCATATACCATTAGCCTTCTTTCCAACAAGGTTACATTGTAGGATCATATTCAGCTTATTGTCCACTGTAACCCCCAGGTCCTTTTTTGAAGAGCTGCTGCTTAGCCAGTTTTTCCCCAGCCTGTACCGATGCATGGGATAGTTCTGTTCTAAGTACAGGACTCTGCATATATCCTTATCGACTCTCATGAGATTTCTTTTGGTCCAATCCTCCAGTTTGTTTCGGTCTCTCTGAATCCTAATCCTACCTTACAGCAGGGGGTTCCCAACTGTTTTATACTGTGGACCAGCAAACTATCTAATTTACATGTTTAAATTTAATTTGCACATTTAAATTTAATTTTTAGTGGGGGCGGAGCTGCAAGGATCGGATCAGGTTGGGACACTGGGGGACCCCGCAGGGACTGCCCAAGAAGGGGCTCTGTTGTCTTTCCTAGGAGCGAGCAGCAGAGCCACCTCCCCATCCTCCGCCCTGGGCAGTTCCCTGCCTGCATCCCCCCACTCCCAGCCATGGGCGGGGTTGGGGAGGGGCCTGCCTGGCCTGGGCCCTGGTACCTGGTGCGCGTGTAGCACCTCACCAAGTGCAGCCATGGCGGCAGGAGCAAGCCAGGGAGCACAGAGCCGGCTGCCTCCCTCCTGGGACTGCCCTGCCACTCAGCTTTAACCCTGCATGTCATACGTGGCTGCAGGCGGCGGAAGCCACGGCCCAGCAGTCAACCTGTGGCAACCCGGTACTGGGCCACGATCCAGTGGTTGGGAACCCCTACCCTACATCATATCTTCTATTCCCCCCGAACTTGCTGTCATATGCAGACTTGCTGAGGGTGCACTCCATCCCATCTTCCAGGTCACTGGACAAAGATATTGAACAAAACCAACCTCAGGACTGACCCCTGGGGCACTCCACTTGACACTGGCTGCCAAACTAGACATCAAACCATTGATTAGTACCATTTAAGACAGTGGTCACCAACCAGTCGATCCCGATTGACTGGTTGCTTGTACAGCCTCTAACAGTTGATCTCAGTCTGTCAGGGGCTCCACGATTGAGAGCGGCAGGACACACATGGCTGAGCTGAGCCACGCCCCCTGCCACCCGGGCTGGGCTGGGTGAGTGGGGTCAGAGCCCAGGCAGCTTGTCCAGGAGGCGGGGAGGAAGTAGATCCTGGGGTGCCAAAAAGTGATCTTCACCATAAAAAGTTTGGAGACCACTAATTTAAGCCCAACAATCCATCCAGTTTTCTATCTTACAGTCCATTCATCCAACCCATACTTCCTTAGCTCGCTTGCAAGAATGTTGTGGGAAACAGTATCAAAAGCCTTGCTAAAGTCAAGGTATACTATGTCCACTGCTCTCACTGCATCCACAGAGCCAGTCATCTCCTCATAGAAGGCAAACAGGTTGATCAGGCATGACTTGCCCTTGGTGAATCCATGCCGACTGTTGTTAATCATCTTCTCCTCCAAGTGCTTGGAAATTGATTCCTTGAGGACCTGTGCCATGATCTTTCTAGGCACCAAGGTAAGGCCGACTGAATTGTAGTCCCCCAGATCCTCCTTCCCTTTGTTCAAGATGAGCAAGATGATTTGCCCTTTTCCAATCATCTGGGACCTCTCCCAATTGCCATGAGCTTTCAAAGATGATGGCCAGCAGCTGTGCAACCACATCAGCCAACTCCCTCAGCACGCTCAGGTGCATTGTGTCCAGCCCCATGGACTTGTACATGTCCAGCTTTTCTAAATAGTCCCTAACCTGTTTTTTGACCACTGTCGGCTGCTCACCTCCTCCCCAAACTGCGCTGCCAGGTCAAGTAGCATGGGAGCCGACCTTGCATGTGAAGACTGAAGTAAGAAAGGCATTAAGTACTTCAGCGTTTTCCACATCATCTGTCACTAGGTTGCCTCCCCCATTCAGTAAGGGACTCGCACTTTCTCTGATCTTCCTTTTGTTGCTAACATATTTGTAGAAACCCTTCTTATCCATTGCTTGCTGCAACTCCAATTGCACTTTAGTCTTTCTTATTTCATCCATGCATGACCAAGCAATACTCTTATACTCCTCCCTAGTATTTTGTCCAAGCTTCCTTTTTGTGTTTTAGCTCGCTAAAGAGTTCCGTCCTAAGCCAAGCTGGTCTTCTGCCATACTTGTTAGTCTTCCTGCACAGCAGGACAGTTCGTTCCTGTGCCCTCAGTAAGGTTTCTTTAAAATAAAACCAGCCTTCCTGGACTCCTTTCCTCCTCAGACTGGCCTCCCAAGGGATCCTTCCCAACAGTTCCCTGAGTGAGTCCAAGTCAGCTTTTCTGAAGTCCAGGGTCCTTACTCCGCTGCTCTCTTTCCATAGGGGAGGGATGCTCAACCCCTAACCGGTGAGCCAAATCCAGCCCATGGAGCCATAGTATCTGACCTGCAGAGCTCTCCACAGGTCAGGATATTTGACAATGGGCACAGTGGCAAGTAATACTGGCATACCTCCCTCACTGCCAAGTTCCCAAAGCCTGCATGGCAGGGTCAGGGCCAGGCCATACCCTTTCTCCCCACCCCATGCAGGTAGATAGGAGCTGGGCCATGCCCACCTTGAGTGTCAGATCTCACCCACTAGGCAGATCTGGCCCACGGAGGAAAAAGTTTGGGCATGAGTGCTATAGGGCCTCTTACAAACAGCTCCCAAGAAACACTCCTTACAAAGAACATACTATAGGAGAATCCAGTCAGTCATTCGCAGAACTAGAGTCCTTGAGCATAACCACAGCAACTCCACGAGTCACAACTAATGATCCTCTCTCCTTTCTATAAGACAGTGGCAAGAAACAGTGCAAAAGTTAAAATAAAGAAATTATCCTGAAACCTGCCGAACTGTCTATTTCTGTTCATCTGCATGAGACAAACTGAGGGAAATTAATTTAATAAGCGTTTTTAGAAAGATTTATGGATTACAATGAAACTCAGCAGTAACAGCATCATCTTGCATTAGCACTTGTCTCGTTACAAAGATCAATATCGTGTTATTTAAAAAACAAACTTAGCAAGAGAGTTCATATACATACCCGCTGCTTCTCAGGGTCAACATATCGAATGCCAAAGTAGTCTTTTTCCAGCAAACTGTAATAGTTACAGATATGGTCTATGAGAAACTGACCTTTTGTCTCCCTCTGAAAAAGGAAAAGAATTTGTATTATGTTAATTTAAATGTACTCTGTACACTCATTATATGCTAAACCTATTACTAAGGAACTTTAAACATCTTATAAAGGAAATTAAGGAAGACAGGTTAAAGGCTTTTTAAAGCCTCTCTTTAAAGAGATGCAACAAGCAAAATATACTCTATAATGCTCTCATATTCATCCTTGCCTTCACACATTACCACACGCTCAGGAAAATTCCTGGCTAATTCCATAGTTACGCATTTAGAAAGTCTAATGCACACTGTTATCCAAGTGTCCAACGAACATTATTTCCATCCACTCAGAGTTTTCCCTCTGGACATAAGGATTTGATATAATGGCACAATGGACACCCATTCCATCACAGGATTTCAAGCTGTTCACACATATATTTTTTACATTCCCTAAAATATAAGCTCTCGGGGCAGCAGTCACCCTTTTATTACTTGATTGCTGAATGCCCAGCATAGTGGGATTGTGGTCCCCAATTAATACCCTCGGAAGGAAGATTTGTATTGACAGATACCGGTTAGTGGAGCTTTCCAATTGGTAAAGTGCCAGATAACATGGCTTTTGCTGTAATTAGCTCTTGTATAACATTTTCCATACTTTCATCTTCAAGTGCTTTACCAACGTAGTATAGTATCTTATTTGTACATATGGGGTAACAGAGTTAAAAAGGTGTAATGACTTGGCCAAGGAGATATACTAGGCACTGCCCCAGATGGGGTGGGGTGGGGTGGAGCACAGGAGGGAGCCCCACGTGGCTCATCTGGGAGGCATGGGGAGGGGGAGGCGGCTCCCACCGCTGCATTTTTCCTCTCGGGGGAGGCATGGTGGGGCACATACACCCCAGACCTGTGTGAGGGTGAAGGCAGGCTACCACTGCAGTCTGGAGCCAAGGGTGGGCCAGGCTCTTCTTGGTGGGGGGTTTGGGCCAGGGCTGCACTCAGGGCAGGCTGTGGCAGTGCTGGGTGGGAGGCCAGGGGGCTATGGCAAATTTTGGGAGTGGCTGTAGCCCACCCTGTAGCTCCCCTCCCCGCACTGCCACCACCCACCCTGAGCGCAGCCCTGGCCCAACCCCTCCACCAGGAAGAGTCCGGCACCCCCTGGTCCCAGCCTACAGCTGCAGCCCACCCTTTCCCACATACAGATCCAGGGGCACATG